TAGGATTTAGGGTTTAGGGTCTGGAAACTAAAGATCTCGTTTGGAGTACAGCAGGTCCTATGAAACCCTAAACCCTAAAGCCCGCCTGCTGCAAGCCTCCAGGCCCTCATCCGGTGCCTCGTAGCCGGGGAGGCACGGGCTGCATTCGGACAAACCTCCGAGCTTCTGAAACAAAGCTTTTCTAAGGTTTAGGGGCTGGGGTCTAGGGTGTGACAGTGTAGGGTTTAGAATTTAGGGCTTCTAGGGCTTAGGGTTGAGGGGCGAGGGGGGCTCGCTAGCAAACTCTGTAGAAAGAAGAATATCTAGGTAAGGGTCCCTTTGACTTCAATGTCCCGAGCTTTGCCCTAAACCCGACACCCCTCAGCGCGAAACCCTGAACCTCCAACCAGAGGTTCAAATAGTGGCTCCTTCATGCTTTTAAGTGTAGGCTTTGGGGGGTTAGTTTTTGTATCATTGAAACCAGAAAGTGCAAGGAAGAGTACTGGCAATTATTCAAGCCTCTATATGATACTGTTGATGATACAAATCCTGCACTGCCCATAAAAAGGAAAATACCCTAATTCTCATAGTTTAGGGTCCTTAAGGTAATGCAGGATTTATATCATCAACCGTATCAGGCTCCGGAAGCCCCCACCTGTATCCGGGGCAAAGAATCCTTTGGCGCATGGAACACAAGCAGATTGGCCTGCGGCCGAGGGCTTAGGGTGCATGTAGGCTCATGGAAGGTGACGGTAGGTTTCTTGTAGGGTCAGTAGTTGGCCTTTAGGGATGAAGATGGAGAAATGCATGATAACTACAGCTAGTAGTCGACAAATTGATTTAAAGTCTTGTGGCTTCAGATTTAGGGCTCTGGGTTTTGAGGGAACTAGGAGCATACAATCTGGATAACAATCTCACGGTCGACCTTCTATGTCCCTGCACGTGAGTTTAGGGTCTGGGACCTTCGACAAGCAGACAGAAGGGCCTGTGTCTCTGGCAAAAGTGCCCCGGGGACAGGCTGTCGACGTAGCATTGAAGCCCCCTAGGCATCTCATGCCTTTCGGGCACGCCTTACCTGGGGCTGCAACCACTCCAGCCTCTGAAACATAGTAAATATAGGAGCCTTAATAATTAGAATAGGGTGTTGGGCCCCATTATACTATAACTATAATAAGGAACCCCCAAAATAGTATTGGTAATTATTTAGGCCCCTACAGTACCCCTAAAGCAGGATCTTCTTAAGCCCCGAGCAGACGATAAAACAAAAGGCTCCAAAGGCATAGCTAGCTGCACTGCTTGGACTGCTCCTCCTTGTAAAAGCCAGGGTCACAAGAATAAAGATGAGCCGGGGGTGTAGCCCCCATCAAACCATCCATCCACACCAAGGGCTTCTCGAAGAAGAACTCCGATGTAGAAGCGCTGAACTCCGCCACCCTCACAGTTTCGCGAGGATCTCCCTGCACATTCAGTAGTTCATAGGCTCCCAGTCGATCACCATTCTCGTTGAAACTCACAGATCCCGAAATGCCTGTGAAGCTTGTCCTGCGCAACTCTTGCAGCAGCACTTCCCCACGGATCTCAGTGCGATGCACTCCCTTGTGCAGCAGCTGGTTGATGGCAACAAGGAAGGTGTATAAGGCATCGAACGCCAGCGCAGACCACCCACTGGGTATTCCAGGAGTTTCATGTGACATCAGGTTCACCAAGTCTTCACTGTCAAGTGGAATCCTCATTCGATCTAGAGAGTATCGTTGCACTGCCTCTGCTCCCACGATGTCGTCTGGACCGAGACGGGACCACATCTGGAGAAGTTCCGGAAATTTTGGACCAATGGTTGCAGCCATGCACATCATGAAGCCTACTGGAAGGTCGAGCCCCTGGTACGCATAGAAATTGTCAGAGCCGACAGCCTGCCAACCTGGCCCGAAGATTCCTTCTTCATGCAAGAGGGAGAGCAGACCAGGAATCATGGCCCCATCCATAGTTATGATCAGAAACCGAGAGCCCATTCTCTTGACCTCTCTGAGAACAGCCCGAGCTTCTTCAGTGGCGACTTCCGATGGCATGTGTCGCAGACCTTCCGAGGTCTGCGTAATCAGGAACTTCATGTAAGTTACAAGAATAGGGGAGCCGAGTATTTACTCTTATGGTAACGTAGACCGCGGCTCCTACATACCAATATTTAGTCATATTTGTTTACCCTACTTCCATGGCAACTTACGTTAACCCCCATATCGAAACTGCTATCGAGTACAATTAAGCCCCTACATAAATCTAAGTTCCTCACCCTAAACCCTAAAACCCTCAACCCTAAACCTAAAACTCTAACCTAAAACCCTATAAACCCTATAAACCCTAAAACTCTAAAACCCTATAAACCCTATAAACCCTAAAACCCTAAACCCTAGAATCCTAAACCCTAAACCCTAAACCCTATAAACCCTATAAGCCCTAAACCCTATAACCCTAAAACCCTAAACCCTATAAACCCTAAAACCTTAAAGCCCTAAAACCCTGGAAACCTTAACACCCTAGAAACCCTAACACCCCAAACCCCAAACCCTATAAACCCTATAAACCCTAAACCCTATCAACCCTATAAACCCTATAACCCTAAAGCCCTAAAACCCTAAACCCTAAACCCTATAAACCCTATAAACCCTAAAACCATAAAAC